TTGACACTTCACAGTGAACCACGCCCACGAATCCACTATGACCACGTCTGTTTGCCACTTCACAGTGAACCACGCCCACGAATCCACTATGACCATGTCTGTTTGCCACTTCACAGTGAACCACACCCACGAACCCACTATGACCACGTCTGTTTGCCACTTCACAGTGAACCACGCCCACGAACCCTATGACCACGTCTGTTTGCCACTTCACAGTGAACCAGGCCCACGAATTCTATGACCACATCTGTTTGCCAATTCACAGTGAACCACACCCACGAACCCTATGACCACGTCTGTTTGCCACTTCACAGTGAACCAAATTTGGGGGCTGTATTGAATATAAGTAATCAAACCCGCCCTTGGAAAAGCCAGTCTTTCACACTAAGGTTTTTGTTTTTTGGTCCTTGCAGAACCTGGCTGTTTGGAATGGAGGAAAGATTGTCTTGTAACTATTATACACACACACACATATATATATATATATATATACATAATATATTTCATACTTCAGAATACATGATGTGCAGGTTAGGAAATAAAGGCATTAACTTTCCACATATGATGTTCACTGAACAAAATTGTATGTAATAATCCTATTTGTGAAATTGAAAACTCTGACATTGCTAGATGGTTGGAACGAGAGTACAAATAGAAACGTGCCTGCCATTACAGCTGTAAGTGGTTAAGAAGATAAACTCTAAAGTCCGAATACCTGGACCGGATTGCACCTCTCATCAGATCAAATCTGATCATGGTCAGATTTGTTTGAAAGCTTCTGTCTTTTTATGCTTCAGCTTCTTTCTCAATAAAACAGGCCCAGTAATAATAGCACCTGCCTCATAAGTGCCACTCTGTCGTCGCATGGGGTTGCTCTGAGTGAAGAATTGAGTCCACAGCACCCAACAAGTGTCCCCCCACGTTCTGTGTGTCTGGATACACGGGTCCTCCTGGTTCAGCACACTCCAACAGATGACATAAGTTGGGGAGGACGTAAGTTTAAGGTGACCAAATTTTAACACTGGTAAAGCGGGACACCATTGATCAAACTCATCTCCTGGTGAAATAGCCACATGGCAACTGACAACCATATACCCTAGCTTGTCGTGCATTCTTTCAAAAAATCGGGACTTTTAAAAAACGCCACGGGACGCGGGGGAAATTGTTAAAATTGGGGACTATCCCGCCCAAAGCGGGGCGTCTGGTCACCTTACATGAGTTGAGACCGCAGTGCGAGAGAGAGCATTTTCAGAACCGTGCTAGAATATAGTGACCAGTCCTCGGTGGTGGAGATCATTAGAAAAGAACAACTGTGGGATGAGATCATTCTTTTTAAATGTGGGAGCGCTTTGGGTTGTTGTTTGGCGCTGTTGAGTGTTTACCCAAACACAGCAACCCTGTGTGCAGCAACAGAACATGGCTCTGACCCACGCCACCCTTATAATTCTCATGTTTGAGCCCATCGTTGTTTGGGTACCGTGTTTTAAAAAGTAAAGGCCACCTGACCTTTCCACCTCCTTTACAGAGTTGAAACCGTGGGACAGCCAGACCGAAGAGACAGTCTAGGAGTGTGTGCGGAGAAGCAGGATGGCTGTGACTCTCTGCAGCGGGACCGCGCCGTGTGCATTAGTACAAATGGTAAGAGGCTCGTCACTGCTCTGCTCCTTGAGTTAGAGGTGTGACTGTGGGAAGATAGGAATCTGTTCAAGGGTCACCCGTGTATGGCAGGAAGATCTGAGACTGAATGACATACTTCCCTGGCCACTCTACCGAGTATTGTTCTAAATCCTTCACAAATTATTAAATCATTGGATCCTTCTAACAACTCTTGGGGCCGTGACTACTGGTATTACAGCTGTTTGCTAGATGAGGAGAACTAAGACACAGCTTAGTAACTGACCTACACGCACCATGCTAGGAAGGGAGAGGGCTGGGATTGGAACCAAACAGTCTATGTCCGAAGGGCCCCGGGGTGATTACACCTATGCCTGCTAACATGAAAGATAAGCATTTCAGCCCATCCAGAGCTCCATGGGAGAAAAACTTGGTGGTTTGTTCTCATAAAAATTACATCCTAGCAAGCCTGACAGGGCCCTTCCACTCTGCCGTCGCATGGGGTTGCTCTGAATGGAGAATTGAGTCCATCGCTCCCAACAACTGTCCCCCCACGTTCTGTGTCTGGATACACGGTCCTCCTGGTTCAGCACACTCCCAACAGATGACATAAGTCGGGGAGAACATTCACTTATCACTTGTCTCTATTACTCTCTGGTTATTTGTTCCCCAGTAATCACGTTTTTAAAATCACTACCAAGAAATGCTGTTCTGTGGTCTGGGAGATCAAGTATTAGATAGACTGAAATGATTTCTTCCCCGTGAGAAGCAATCTTGCTATTGTAGGCAAATTTGTAAGGGAGTCTGTTTCCTTCTGATGCCATTGTATTGGAGAAAAGCTGAACCCAGGGTCCTGACACGTGATTAAAGCTTTAACTTTTTTCCCTGCCCTGGAGATGGGAGGCTAAGTAACATCTTTCCATGTAATCCCTGTGACTGTTGGCATTGCCATCTGACTCCATATACAAACTATTTACTGAGTGGGGGTGGGGGTTTGACCGTGTTTATTTTTTATTGTGTTATTATGGTTATTGTCTTCTTACTCTTGCTACTGTGTTATACAATGTGCTGTAAACAATTAGCTGCTCTGCCTCAGCCATCGAGATACTGTTGCAGTTGCTGCTCATCTGTGAATGACTCTTGCCCTCACCATTTTTAGGTGCAGTGTTTGTGAATGGAAAAGAAATGACTAATCAGCTTCCTGCCGTCACTTCTGGATCTACTGTCACTTTTGACATTGAAGCCGTGACTCTAGGAGCCCTCAATAATAATGAAGGCGGAAACATCAAGCTTCGCGTAACCATTAGCTCCAATAATAGAGAAGTGGTTTTTGACTGGCTACTTGATCAGTCCTGTGGCTCCCTTTACTTCGGATGCTCCTTTTTCTACCCTGGCTGGAAAGTATTAGTGTTTTAGATCTTTTGGAATTATTGGCTTTGGTTTAGCAGGGTTTTTAACGTAGCCATCCTCAGCCCTGCTAAGATGTAATTGATGGAAACAGTTGGATTCATCTCTCAGATAATTGGAAATGACAAGTGTTTACTGGATTCATTTTGGGAATATTTTAGCAATAAGACACTTGAATGTTGTGAACAAAAGCATAGTGCAGTCAAGGTTATTGTTAGCATAGTCCTAATTTAAAGATCCCATAACAATAAAAATCAAACTGGTCTTAAAAATGTAGCATAGCTACAGAGAAGGTCGGTATGCTTTTGCTGTCTTTTAGTTTGGTTACTAGAACGGAAACCTCACTGAAATATGTAAAGGTCATGTCAAAGTAGGAGACACCAGACACAGACTGGCTCTAATATGCATTCAGTCCTGTGCTCTACTTAGAGGAGGGTGGTGGCTGTGCTGCCCTTATTCGCCTGTTTAGGAGCCCTGGGGGCCTAGGTTACATGTGGAGCTGCTAATCGCAAGATCAGCAGTTCAAAACCACCTGCCACTCCAAGGGAGAAAATTGAGGCTTTCCACTCCCATAAAAAGTTACAGTCTGGGAAACCCAGAGGCCGTTCTAGCCAGTCCTCTAGGATCACCATGAATCAGAATCAACTAGATGGCAGTGAGAGTTTTATTCCAATATTTTGTAAGCAGCATCGACTTTTAACCTTTCATCGAGACCCCAAAGCATTATAATTTTTGAATTTTGAAAATAGAAATGTGTCCACAGTATTTCCTCTGGCCCCTGCTTTGCCATGCAGGCTAGGTCAGGGGATTCATCACAGGGTAAAACTACTTTTGGAAGTCTTATACTCATCAGTGCAGTTTCACTTAGTGTCTCTCTCTCTCTCTCTCTCTCACGCACACCATCCTCGGTTATAGGCTTGTACAATTGGCCCTCTGGTTCCCCTGGTTCCACGTCCATGGGTTCAACTATGGATAGAAAATATCAGGGGGGTGGGATCCAGAACATAAACCTTGAATATACTGCTGAGGAAAGAGCTGAAATCCATAAGGACAAGGGATGGGTAGCCATGCCCTGCTGCAGCCTCCCACCAGCCCCATGCCATTTGAGCATTGGTCACTTGGCCTCTTGATTGCAGCTTGTACTATGCATTCCCTTTGGAAAAATGTCTCCCAACAAGCAGTTACATGGTCCAAGTGATCCCTCAAAGGCCAAGAGGGAGCAAAACCTGCTAATTACTAGTACTGACATCGTACTGGGTATCGGCTTAAGACATCTAGAGGTAATATAAAACATGGGAGGGTGGGTGTAGATTGGGTGCAAATGACATCGTTTTATATCGAGACTCAGACACACGGGTAGCATATCATCAGCAGTTCAGTTTCATAAATGGCCTTACATGGAGCAAGAGAACATAGGGTAAATACTTAATCTATTTTTGGGGGGGAAAATTGTGTATTTATTTGAATGATTTTGTTTGTAAAAGTGATGCTCTAAACTTGCGATCCTTGCTGACAGTTCTTTATTTTAATGTGAAGTTTAAAAATGAAAAACATTCTTTTTATTCCTTTTGCCAATAGAAAAATGTTCAGAAAAAGAAGTTTGATTATTTTTGTAAGATAATTTATTTGGGAATTCAAGTTCCCTCTTGGACAATCATGAACTTTTCCTGTGCCTTATGTATAAAGTGTGAGTACCCTTTTGTTTTGGCCAGCGATTATTAAGAAGCCATGCTAGGATCTAGACACCCTGTCCATTTGTCTGTAACAAAATAAAAAAACTGAAAGTTCCATGTGTGCATTTTTTTCCTTCAGGAAGATCTGAGATCTGATGGCCTGATCTCAGATCTCCAGTGTTGGGTGGACGGGGAAGGGGTTCTTGTGGCTGAGGTCATTTCTGCTCCGTTTGTTGATATAAGGACAACTGTGCTTTCTTGGTATCAGATGAAGACCCAGTGACTTGACACATAACATATACACAGTGAGTGGTGGCCAAATATAAATTACTTTCTCTAGAACAGCTTCATTTCATTCTCTTTTTTCAGCAAGTATTGAACATCTTTATTTCATGTCCTGGAAGAGATGAGTATCCTAAATTTATGTCTGTGGAATATGCCCATTCACAAACGTGACTAACCTACCTTAAATTCTAGACAGGAATGGACTATGCTCTTTAGGATATGGAAGTGCAGCATTGTTTTCACACCCTGAATTGTGAACTAAACGTATTTTGGTGTGTGTTTTTTTAAAGGCCAACTCATTTTGTTTAAATACCAAAACCAAACCCATTACCATTGCATTGATTCAAACTCTTGGTGTTTAAACAGGGTTTCTGATGCTGGAAATCTTGACAGGAGCAGACAGCCTCATCTTTTTCCCTCAGATTGGCAGGTGGACTTTGAACCATCCATCTTGAGGTTAGCAGTCAGGTGCTTACCTGATATTGCCATCAGAGCTCTTTTTTTTTTTTTTTTTTTTTTTTAACATTTTTTTAAGGG